CAAGCTTGGAGGGGTTGCAAGTGCTTTGGAGGATAGGGTTATAATTCTGGACACACCAGAGAAATGGCCTGAGATAAATCTGGTCACACCAGAGAAATGGCCTGAGATAAATAAGATTAAGTTTAAAAAGGGCAAATGTAAAGAACTCCACTAAGGCAGGAGCAATCAGTGGGAATAAGTGAACCTCCGGAAAAGAGCTTATTTTCCGGAGGATCGTTCACACACAGACTGCATCCCTTTTCCATAAAAGGGATGCAAATTAGACACATCACAATTGCAAATGAAGCAGTGTTTTAAATCCCCCCTGCTTCATTTGCATAAAAATGGCTGCCGCTTTTTTCCGGCTTGTAGATAAGCCGGAGAAAAGCGCCAGCCTGGACGCGATCCTCCGGAAAAGAGCTTATTTTCCGGAGGATCGCGTCCAGACTGGCGCTTTTCTCCGGCTTATCTACAAGCCGGAAAAAAGCGGCAGCCATTTTTATGCAAATGAAGCAGGGGGGATTTAAAACACTGCTTCATTTGCAATTGCGATGTAACTAGTTTGCATCCCTTTTACGGAAAAGGGATGCAGTCTAGACACAACCATACAGAATGGGAAGTGACTGTCTAGGAGGGAGTGTTGCTGAAAGGCATCTAGGGGTCAAAGTGGACCACAAGCTAAATATGTGTCCACAGTGCGACACTGTTGCAAAAAAAGCAAACATGATTCTGAGATGCATTAATTGGAGTGTTGAGAGCAAGACACAAGGGCTACATCTACATTGGTCCCTATTCCGTAATAGGGATGCTAATGTAGCACTTGGGAATAGGCAAATCCGCGGGGGATTTAAATATATACAGACATCTATCAGGGATGATCTAGATGGTGCTTGGTTCTGCCGTGAGGGCAGGGGACTGGATTCGATGATCTCTCGAGGTCTCTTCCAGTTCTAGTATTCTTTGATTCTAGGACAATACCCTGTGGTACTGTGAAGCCATTTTGAATTGCTTTGTATCTGTGGTAATAAAGGCAAACTCTGAGCAAAGGATTTGGAGCTGAGTCCTTGTCTGGAGAGTGGTTTTGCCTTTTTCCGTCAGTGGATCTGCCCATTAGCTCAAGGGTGGAGGAAGAAGAGGGTTGAGGGAAGTACAGCAGTGGCTTTAACAGGCTGGGTGGCTCTCACGGACGGGGAACTTGTACAGAGCATAAGTCATGTGTCCCAGGGAACTGTGTACACAACATAAGCAGTGAATGCGGGGGAGCAGCAAGCTTGGGGAAACCTGCATGACTCTAAGGAAGGAGAGAGCGTATGTGTGCAGGCATTCTGTGGTAAGAGCAGGCCTGTGACTTTCCTACCAAAATCCTGACACTTCCAGAGGCTGCAGAGGAGGGAAATTGGCCACTAAAAGCTTCTCCTCTGATATCCCGCAGCACAAAACCTGTGGCACACAGAACCTTGCACTAGCTTCAGTACCCTGCAGCTGGCATTCTAATTATTCTCCCCCTCTCTTCTGTGTAAACTCTACATTGTTAATGGAGTTTTCTCTGTTGTCTTTCCTTTAATATTAGGCCAGCTTCAGTATGGGTAGCACACCCCAGCTTTGCACCCTTCCCTGTCTCCTGCAAAGCTCATCCCATCTTTTGCAGTGCATATGTCAGAAACTTGTCTTTTTTTTTTAACTCCATTGTCGGTGTCTCCAAAGATGTGCTTCCCAGAAAGTTAATAACAGTTCCAAAACTTCTTCCTGAGTGCTAGCTTGTCATGGGCCTGCAGGCTAGTCCATATAAGGTTCATTATAATGGGATGGTTGTTGGCTTCTCGGGACTTGGGAACAAGGAATTCATACTGTATATGAACTTCAACTTAGGCTATGTGACTTAGACTTTAATTTTCCTGTCAAAATCTGTCTCTGTTCAGACATTAGCTGAGTTATATTCAGATTATCTCCACTATAGGATGTGCCTAGATCCAGACTCTGATTTTTTGCTATTTTCCCTCCCCTTCCCCCATCTCAATCTAGGACCAACGGTCCATCAAGACCAGTATTTTAATTGAGAGCAGATGCTTTAGAGCAGTGGTTCCCAAACTTTTTGGCATCACACCCCCCTTTTTGATTTTTGAAAAAACCTCACGTCCCCCCCCAAAAAATAGCAGCAAAACTTGAGCAAAAAGGGAAAAAAAGAACTGAACTGAGCAGCAAAACGTGATGGGGGGGAGGCTGGGTCGCCTTGCCCCCCCCCTGGGATTTCTTCATGCCCCCCTGAGGGAGGCACGCCCCCCAGTTTGGGAACCCATGCTTTAGAGGAAAGTGTAAGAAGTCCTGTAGTTATTGTAGGATGTACATTGTAATTTCTATGTTTATTCCTAAAGTGAAGACTTGTTTAGAATCTAACACAGGCACGTATAAATCCTTCCCTCTTCTCCTGCCAAAAGGTATTGTTGAGTCTACATCAAAGTGACATGCAAGGTCTGTTGGGTCCCCGTGGCACTGGGCACTTAACACTTCCCCACAAAGTATTGCTACTATTATCTTTTCATCCCCCTCTCTGCCCACAAGGAGAAGTTTGTCTTTCATCAGTTGCAGGGAAATTTAAGCTGGAAGCCCCAGAGCAATATCCCAGGGGCTGCAGCTGTGATTCCAGGTTACTCAAGTATCATTTTTCCTAAAGGAAGGGGGATTTGTTATTGTTGAAAGCGCCATCTCATCATTGCCTGTCAAACTCTGGAACTCTCCCTACTGCGCTTCACTGTGTGACACCCAGAATGGCGAGTTTTAGTGCACTGAGCCAGCAAAGCTGACGGAAGCAAAGTAAAAGCTGGCTTGGGAAGCAGAGACGATGTGGAGCTCTTCAGCGAGTGTTAATTATGAAGCTATCGATCACAGTGGAGGTCAGTTCGTTAGAGTAATATGACCCAAGAGGTTGATAGTAGGTCGGTTTTGTCAGTGTAATTTAACCCAAGAGGTTGATCGTGACTGAGGTCAATAGAAGACCCAGAAGTGCAATAAATCTGAATACTGAGAGGGAAATTGACAGATGGAAATGATGGGAATTTATTAGATACATTTACAGGTAGGGGCAAAGAGGAAATTAAACTGTTAGTTCAAAAATATTTTTCATGATTACTCTGGCTATAGATCCTAGACTCTAATCTTTCCAGGTCGATAGGTTTAGACATAATTCTGAGTAGACTTGGGGCTCCATATTATTTTCCTTCTGTGGAGAATGTATTCAGTTTTCAAATCTAAATCCAGCTTCATGCTATGAACTTAACCTCTTGGTGTAAGCCACTGTCAGCAACTTTTCCCTTGAACCAACATTGGAAATAGCTTAACTGTTAGTGTGAATGATGCATGTTTTTCCACACACAAAGAACAACCATTTACCTCCAATATATCATAGTCTAAAGAAAAACAGCAAGAAAGAATAGACAGGAAATCTGTCTCCATAAGAGAGTAGCATGTTGACATGTCCTTGTGTGTCCATGACAAGTTGCAGCAGCTCTGGGAACAAAATGGCTGCCATCTCCGCTGACTGTCAGAATTCTTAGCAATGTAAATATGTTGTAAGCAGTAGCCAAAGTTGTCATCATTTGGTATTAATGTAAACCACTACATACAAGTGGAACTGCGTACAGCACCATTGCAGAAAGTGCTCGAGACCTGTTGCTGACACTTTTCAATAATGATCATTTTTTTAACGTGTATGGAACTTTTAAAAGAGCTTACACTGGTCCAGGTGCAATAGCTCTATGCTGAGAACGTGTGTTGAGAGCGTTTTTATTCCTAATGCAACTCTAATGCCATGAACCGAACCTGGGACCTCTGGAGCTCAGTGCATGAGCCTCTACTTCATGAGCTAAAAGCCAGCTGTCTCTTAGCTAAGGCTGTAGAGCAGATACATTATTCTCTCTTTAAGTGTGGGACAGAACACCACAACCACATCTGTAATAGTCAGTAATGAGGTACATTTAGCAAGATTAAAATAAATAGTTGCATATTAAGCATGAAAACATCACCAAGTTGCCTTGCTCTGAAAGTTTATAGTCTACTCCAAGAACCCATTGGCTATGTCTACATTGGCACCCTTTTCCGGAAATGCTTAAAACGGAACAGTTTTCTGTTAAGTATTTCTGGAAAAGCGCGTCTACATTGGCAGGATGCTTTTCTGGAAAAGCGTCCGTGGCCAATGTAGACGCACTTTTCCGCAAAAAAAGCCCCGATCGTCATTTTCGTGATCGGGGCTTTTTTGCGGAAAAGACTACTGTGCTGTCTACACTGGCCCTTTTCCGGAACAGTTTTTCTGGAAAAGGACTTTTGCCCGAACGGGAGCAGCATAGTTTTTCCCGGAAAAACAATGACGATTTTACATTAGATCGTCATTGCTTTTCTGGAAAAGCAAGCGGCCAGTGTAGACAGCTGGCAAATTATTCCGGAAAAGCAGCTGCTTTTCCAGAATAAGTGGCCCAGTGTAGACACAGCCATTATGTTTTGACCTATATTTGTATGAATCTAAGATTCTCACAAATGCAGAGTGTTGATTCTATCTGAATATTTGCAGATATTCCAAATCGATTGACAGCTCTTTTTTCTCTCCAGGCACTAGCCATGTGGCCTTGGGTCCTCAGACTAATCTGGGTGCCTATAATGTGTGTTTCTATTGTGGCCTTGCAACATGGTATGTTGAAACTACCTCACCACTGCATCCAGACATCACCATATTAAGCTGGGACTGATTGACACAATGTGGCAGCATTGTGTCTCTTTTATAGTTCAGTTCATACTGATGTATCAGCTTGTTCAAAAAATACTTCTAAACACCTTTGATCCTGTTAGCGCTCACAGAGGATGGGTTGTTGTTTTTTTTCCTTCAGAAGAAAGGCTCCTCTTGACTTTAATGGCCAATTTTTTTAATAGCCAATTGTTAAGCAGCTTAAGTATTTTTTCATCTCTCCCCCTAAGCAGGACTTGTGTCAATTCCTCTGTAAATGAAGATTTTTTTGCATCTTTTTTCCTCCCAGGACAGCGAACTTTTGACCTTTAATATCTCCCAGCATCAGTCATGGTGGAGTGAAAACGGCCCTGGATGCATAAGGAAGGAGGCTCCCATGGCTGGTATAAAGGGACTGGACAGCCATTCTTACATCTCTGTGATTGGTTGTGCTCTCGAGTATCGCTACATTGAAGTCATGCACAGCTCAGTCCAGATTCTGGTAGCGGTGAGTACCTCGTAGTAGATCTGATCTCCAACAAAGAGTAAAACCATCCAAGAAGAAATGTAATGGGTAGCAGCACTGTTAACTTATGCATTCACAGAAGTTGATCTGTATGTTCTGTTCCTCTCAGTCTTTTTGCAAGGTCTGTGTAAATCTCTGCTAAAGAGGGTGAGTGGGGGTGGTTTTTTTTTTAATTTCATGTTCAATCTTCAATATCTACTAGCATTTTTTTTAAATCAAAATAGTAATCAACACCAGGAGCCTAGCTCTTGCAATAACAAACCACATATACCTCTACAATAACAAATTAGTGGCAGAGGAAGGGAAACATATTTCAGTCAGGAAACAGACCTACGACAGTTGCTGTGTGTGTGTGAATGAGCGCTCATAGAAAGGGTTGGGAGAGGGGAGATCTATGTTTCCCTATGAAAATAATATCCTCCTTCAGAAAACAACTTAATACATTCACAAAGTAGTATGTTTTCTTTCTGCTGATACCAGTGATTTATATTAAGTTTCCATCAAACATTGCCCCATCAGAGTCTTTCATGGGCATTTTTAAAATATCCTGCAGTAATGTGTTGTCCTTAATGTTCCCCATTAATTAACTGATTTTCATTTGCATGTGAAATTATTTGAAACAAAAGCTCCATTGTTTGTTTTTAAATTTGCATGGGTGCTTTATAGCTTCATTGCATCTTTTTAAACTGCTTTGTTGGTTAGGTTAGTGGCTTTCAGCACAAACAAGTTCTACTACAACTCAGAACTTTGTTTTAACCCTTGGGGTGCTTCAAATGACAGGTTTGACTGCACCTAACATAGGCTTATAGGCATGAAAAGAAAGGCACGAGAAAGGTAACACGACCCGTGCTGGAACATATTGCAAATTTCAAGGGAACGTGGGCTGTTTATGAAGGATTGTTAGTCTGGATGTTACTCATGGATGTTTTACCGACCAGTGTCCTCATGGTAGTTCCTTCCACTGTCATAAAGAAAAGCAAGGCTTTGTTTCTTAGTTCATTGTTCCCTAAGCCAGTCAATGATAGGTGTGCTCTGGAGGCTGAATGTTGAATCCATGGAGAGCAGAAGTGTCATACCTCACTTAATAGTATTCCCTCTGGCTGATTTAGGAAGCATCATTGTTGGACTTCAAAGTCCTTCCCAGTGGGGCAGACTTAAGGAGAAGGGCTTAGTTAAATGGCAAGACATGGTCCTATGTTACATGTAGGATAGGCTCTGGTATTGTGGGATCGTTCTAACTTTAGACACCAGGCCCCAAGGTAGATTGCTGCAATAAAACAGAGCCAAGTGACTTACAGGCAATGCCTCCTAGCTTAACTTAAGAAGCATAGATTCAGAGTGAGTGTTCTCAGTTGGCCAGATGGATAGAGAATCCATTGTTAGAGATTCTCTAAGCTATAGTCAGAAAGAGAAGGGGAGAGGACAAACCATGGGCCAGAAAAGACCAACAACTGCATATAAAGGAATCCAATGCATCAGGGAAGGGCAGACAAATAAGCAGTGGCAAATTTTTAAAGTGCTTCTACACAAATGCTAGGAGTCTGACTAATAACATAGGTGAACTAGAGTACCTTGTATTAAAGGAGGAGATTGACATAATAGGCATCACTGAAACCTGGTGGAATGAGGAAAATCTGTGGGACACAATCATGCCGGGATATAAAATATATCGAAAGGATAGAGCAGGCCGTGTGGGTGGCGGGGTGGCACTGTATGTGAAAGATAATGTGGAATCAAATGAAATAAAAATATTAAATGAATCCACATGTTCCATAGAATTGCTATGGATAGCAATTACATGCTCCAATAATAAGAAATTAGCAGTAGGGATATATTACCGACCACCTGACCAGGACAGCGATACTGACATTGAAACAAGAAACTTTATCAGTATTTCATAGCCCAGGAAGCGTGGCGGCTCCTCTTCTTTCTGTGTCTTTGTTTTGGATGCCTACATCCATCAGGATGCCTACACCAGGCATGAGCAACACAGATAGTGGGTAGGCCGCATGAACGGCCCTCCTTCACCTCAGTGGGCTGCAGCATCCTGTGGCCTCTCTATATGCCCCTGCTTGCTTCTCACACACTGGGGCACCATAGCCCCACACTTACCTGCTCCTCCCCCTCCTTCCCAGCATTTTCAGAGTGTGTTCAACATTCCTGTGGTGGGAAGAACACCTCAGCAGTCCAGCACCCTGGCATTTAATTTCAAAAAGGGGAATTACACAAAAATGAGGAGGTTAGTTAAACAGAAATTAAAAGGCACAGTGACTAGAGCCAAATCCCTGAAAGCTGCATGGAAACTTTTTAAAGACACCATAATAGAGGCCCAACTTAAATGTATACCCCAAATTAAAAACATAGCAAGAGACCTAAAAAATAATCGCCGTGGCTTAACCACCATGTAAAACAAGCAGTGAGGGACAAAAAGGTATCTTTTAAGAAGTGGAAGTCCAATCCTAGTGAGATAAATAGAAAGGAACATAAACACTGTCAAATCAAGTGTAAAATGTAATAAAAGAGGCAAAAAAAGATTGAGGAACAGCTAGCCAAAAATTCAAAAAGAAATAAAATGTTTTTTAAGTACATCATTAGAAGCAGGAAACCTGCTAAAAAAACCTGTGGTTCCCCGAGATATAAAAGGAGCAATCAAGGATGATAAAGCCACTGCGGAGAAACTAAATGATTTCTTTGCTTCAGTCTTCACGGCTGAGGACGTTGGGGAGATTGCTGAATCTGCACCGTCCTTTATGGGTGATGAATCTGAGGAACTGTCCCGGATTGAAGTGTCATTAGAGGAGGTTTTGGAACAAATAGAAAAACTTAATGTTAACAAATCTCCGGGACCGGATGGCATTCATCCAAGGGTTCTAAAAGAACTAAAATGGGAAAATGCTGAGCTATTATCTGTAGTTGGTAAGCCTAACTTCAGTACTGGGCAAACTAGTCGAAACAATAGTAAAAAATAAAATTGAGGCATGTAGAAGACCATAATCTGTTGGACAAAAGTCAACATGGTTTCTGTAAAGGGAAATCATGTCTTACTAATCTATTAGAGTTCTTTTAAGGGGTTAACAAACATGCGGACAAGGGGGATCCAGTAGATATAGTATCCTTAGATTTTCAGAAAGCCTTTGACAAGGTCCCTCACCAAAGGCTCTTGTGTAAAT